ACACGAACGACCAGGGGGGGGGGGGGTTGTTACGACCCCCCCTGGCGTTTCGAAACGGAAGGTCGTAGAGCTTAGCGGAAAAAACCAACGGATTGCTCTCAACGAGATCTCGCGATTGGTGGTATATTTTTTGGTCCTAGCTCAAGATTTGACCTACTTATGACCGGTCAAAGGTCAAATTTTCCGAAAAAATCAAACTTTTTCAACTTTGCGCAACAATTGCGGCAACACGGTGAGAGATATTAACTTCAAACCTTCAACAACGTATTCCCCACTCAATTCTGCATCATATATGGTGTTTTTGGTGTATTTACCCTATAAAAGTAAGAGGCCTATTGCTGATGAGTGATATGGTGTCACATCACCCTCCGGTGTTTGTCCCGATTCGTCGGCTGTTGACCACTGCTCCGCTATAAATACTGTAGGTAACGACTCAGAAAAGATATGTGGATATCCACTGCAATGTGGATAGCATCAGCAGAAAACCTCGGGACTCGGTACACACTTCGTGAAAATCCGGCCGGAGGCTGTACCTCTTATGACGTCATAACTCCGTGACCTGACCTGATCCGGTCAATTTTCTTGCACCACACGATAGCCAATGCTTGCCCCAACATGCATGGGAAGTTTCATCATGATCCATCAAACAATGTGGGTATCACCGGCAGAAAACCTAGGGATTCGGCGCACACGTTTGGTAACTGTCGGCCGGAGGCTGTACCTCTTATGACGTCATAACTCCGTGACCCGACATGACCCGATCAATTTTTTTTTTCGGCAAAAGATGCGCAAAGGTTGCCCCAGAGGGTATTGAAAATTTCAGCCCGCTACGACAAGCCGTTTAGCGTGCACTTCGAAAAAACCTCAGGGGGGGGGGTTGATACAACCCCCCCTAGGCGTTCTAGGGTTAAGGCGCGTTCATGCCGCACGGCTGGTGGTGGCCCGCGACGGAAATGAAAGCTGATGTGATGCACTGCACGTACAGAAGCTTGCATTCACACAGGGAGCTGTACAAAGACGTGATTCATGTCCAGACTCAGGGTACGTGCCATCTGCACACAGCACTCACCTTGTGTCTGCGGAGTTAGGGGCCTTGTTTGAGGTGCCTGTTACAGGTTAGGCTTGAATGGCACGCTGAGTGTTTGTCTGAAACTGGCCACTGAAACGGTGCCACATGAAACACCACTTTGGATGCCTGAAACACGCTATTTACCAAGGCCATTTCGGTAGAATTGAGTACTTAAAATGCACGTACCGGACCTCACTGCCGTGTCATCCTGCATATTTGTCTTTTCACGCGCTGCTGGGTGTTCCCATCGCGTGGGTCATAACGGTAAAATGATGCGGCGCGTTAGCGCGGCAGTGAAAAATGAACTACATCAGCAGTCCTTTATGCGTTTGGTCAAGGTATCTAGGAGTCAGTTTTGGTAAATGTTTTCAAACATTGAGTCGAACAAGCTGAATTCGAAACTCATTGTGCTAATGAAAAATCGATGTGCAATTGCACTGTGCAATGTGCAGTATTGCCTCGGATGCGAGGTAACGGCGAAAGAAGCTGGAACTGTCTTTGTGTGTTTCCAGTTTCAACATCCGTAGCAAAATGACGTCAGTTGTAAACGACGCCGTTTGACTGAAATGCTGACGGCGGGTATGTTCTCTGTTTTCACGGCTAGGGATGCAGTCTTACTGACTGGTCGCTTATCTGCTCGCTAACTTTTTTCGTTCATCGATATAAGACAAATGAAGGAAGTACGCAGACATTTCTGCTACATCATCAAACCCACGACGTGCCAAAAGTCATGACCTCATCTCTTGTATTTCTTGTATTTCTTGTATTTGTTATAGCCGACTACAGGCCTTGCAGCCCATTTACAGTGGCAGTCACGATTAAAATAGGTGACACAGCACATGCACATTGCACATTACAATGAATACTGCACATTACATGTACGTCCCCTGAGAGCGAGCAAACTCACGGATGTCCGATAAAACGGAACCCGATGATGCCAACATGTCAGCAGTGGGTGTATGCTGCAGGAAGCGATTACAAAGTGCAGGGATACGGACAGTGAACCCTGACTCGTTCGTCTAACCTCCAAAACGTCCTCGTCGGGTGATGTCAGACGACCCCGGCCCCGCCCACCAATCCCGCCCCTTCCCCATCCTCCGCGCCCGCTCCTCGCTACCTCTCCGCGGAGACAAGGCTCCGATATCACCGCGCTGAACATCGAATGGCCCGTGCATCTCAGTTTCTGCGGAGGGTCAGGTCGGTGTGGATCAGATGACCACGGTTCCACGACGCCGCAGTAGGTGTCATATTCTGAAGTCTCATTAGGAGGGGTGCCATTCGATCCTTCCAACTACTGTGTCAAATTTCCACTGCCCGGACTCGTATTTTAGTTGCGCTTGCAAATCGGACTGCGCCTAGACTGCAAGACAGGAATGTATTGTAACGCGCTGTATGGTTAATTTATAGCTGATACACTGGTGACGCAGTCGGCTCAGTTGGTACGCACCGGTGACCAGTAGCCCGTGACCGGGTCAGCTGTGTCTCACGAGGCGCTGGCTGAACGCAATCAGCTACTCATCAGACTCGTTTATCACACGGGCGGACACCGGTACTGGGGTGACGAGCAACGAGCCACCTTATTCGCGTGCTGCCTATCGGTGGCGAACTGATAATCGGGTAATGGAAAGGGTTTGGGCGCTCTTGCGTAGGTGAACATGGTTCATGCTTGGATATAAGATTAATCAATGTTTGTTTTGATGTTCTGCGTGCTAGCACAAGCCATGTCGCTTTGAAATGTAAGCCAAGAAAATCGGTCAGATGTATGCTATGTATGCTATTCTGTTGGTTTTCGAGCCTATGCTCATTTGTTGTGTTTGACATTTTTCCGTTTTATAATGGTATGAGGAACAGAGTCGGGGCCTACATCGGAACGGCTTTAGCTGGCCATTTTTTTCTCAAAACCTTCAGATGAAGTGTAGGTACCTTACGTTTAAATAAATGAAAGTCACGAGGCCAGTAGGTATCCCGCATGCTATGGGAAGTCAGTCGCTTTAGGTGTACCATTTTTACCACGATTGTTCGATGTCCATTGTCCAGTGCTAGGGACTGAACCACATATGCCCCTGTTTCGACCGCCTTCAGCCGATGACCCTGGGTGTACCCGGATCATTCGTCGCCGTTTAGAGGTCGTCCTCGATCAGTCCTCTGATGGTGCGCCTGATACGACCGCGAGTTCTTCATTAGCCAGTCGACGCACGGCCGGTCCACTTTGGCTGCCGCCGTTCCGGCTCTCCCGATCTCGGCATCCGTCCATCGCCCGAAGAGAGAAGTGCTCTGTCTTGTGTGGGACAGGTCATGGCTTCTCAGAGATTGATCGGACATCTCCCCGGGCTGGCAGCTGGGCGCTCGAGGAAGCTGTTCTTATCGAGAGGAACTCGGTGTATGAGGTGAAAATGGGTGGGAAGTTTGGGGATTATCGACGGATGGTCAGTGCGTCGCATCCCACCAAGATTACATGCACTCAAAATAAAATCGCGATCATGAACCGTTTAGCTCGAAAAATTGCATAAGTACACTTCTTGCTTCACACATTTCTTTGCATTAGTTGTTCATAAATTTTTTGCCGTGGGCCCTTATTTGCTTTTATTTTATATGAAAATGGCGACACAAAAATAACGCTTTTGCATTTTTATTATACATTTTGACCGACGAACCTGGAAAACAACACATCGCTCATCGACGCACCCTTCTTTCTAAAAAACCAACATCCGACCCACGCTGCCATCAGTCGCGGTGCCCTCAGGTCCTCCGGCACCGCGACCACCGCCATATACGGGGTCCATGCAGTACCTCGCACACCGGCCCCGCGAACCGTCTGTTCAGTCAGCCGTGTCCCCGCCGAGGGGTCACGACCTCTGGCACGCGAACGGCCTGGCGGCGCACTGGAGGGGGGGGGGGGGATAGGGAGATGGTCTGATGAGGGGTAGGCCAACAGAAGCTGATATGAGATAAATAACTATTTGTAAAGAGATCGTGTTTTAAAGGTTTGGAGGAGCGACAACTGTATATTTTTTTCTTCAATAACACGCTTATTTTATAGGCATTAAAAGAAGACAAAAAAAAGAGAAACGCATCGCCAGAAGTTCTGAAATCACAATAGCCTCGTATAACCCTTACTCTAAAATAAGTGGTTTCAATCCCTTGACGTCAGTGTTCTGTCCGTGTGTGCAGTCACGCCAGCTTCTTCTTCACTCCACAGTCTACACTTCAAGGCAGTTCACTCCACTCCACACTGAAAACAAAATTACCCATGGGTGATGAGTAAACTCATGAACCGGCGGTAATTTTAAACAACCTATTTGACTGCTCGAGGCGCCGGTAATGTAACTAGGCCTGCACCGGTCATTGCACCTCTCAATTGTGCGTTAACTCATGTCTCTTCACTCGTGTATTATGAGTTAACCGATTGTGAAAAACTCATGTACTCTTGGTAACTCATTTTGATTACTCATGATATGCGAGTATAGGCTTACTCATATTACACCGTTAATGAAGACACCACACGTTTGACTACATGAGGCGCTAGTAAATGTTACTAGCCCTGTAGCGGTCACATCACCAATGAGTTGCGGGTTAACTCTCGTTCCCTCACTCATACCACATGAGTTTACCGTTTGTGACGAATTCAAGCATTGCTAGTAACTCATGCCATGCAACGATTGATACGCGAGTTAAATGTAACTCATAACATGATGGTCAAGTGAACACACCTATTAGATCGCTCTGCCGCCGGTTTTTCCACTCTGTCGACTCATCCCCTGGCGGTCAGCCTCACCCATGAGATGAGAGTCATAACATTAAAACATAAGGAGGGTTTATTAAAACAATGCATAGCATGCAGATAAACCACGACTGGACTGTAATCGCCACGCCCCGCGTGGATTGTCCATGAAGGTAATACAATACAGTACAATACAATACAATATTACATCATTGATCATATGAACAAGGGTGATGAACACAGCACGACGCTCATGCCCTTCCAGACATGAACTTGGCCTACACGCATGAAAAAGCGTTAACGCCATTTCTTTGCAAAACTACCCGGCAGAAACACAAACACAAAAAGAGACAGAAAGTCCCTAAAGTGCTGCCTCATGTCCCTCCCCGTGCACTCCTAAACGCAGCCGGTCATCGCCGCCCACTGCTTTGGGGGCGGCGACACATCGGTCTTCAGGATCACGGCACACATCAGGTAGCCGGCCAGACGGATGGCTGGGCGGTTGAACGACTGCGCAAACACTGTGAACGCGGCCCCCCACGTCAGCAGCTTGTTCACCTTTGCCGTTAGAGCTCCTTAAACTGCACTGCTGGCACGCCCTCTATGGCGTGGAAGTCGTCCGCCACATGAGGCCGTGGCTGCGGCGCCGATGTGAACACAACTTGGTGCTCTTTAGCACGGTGCAGAGAAGATGGTCGATCGCATCGTCTGCGACGGAAAAAATTTACCTTCAGAAATCAAGGCCACGAACTGCAAACTTTAATTTGGTACAGCATGCCTCTCGCAATTTTAACCCACGTCTTGCTGGGGGAGGGGGAGGGTGTTTGAACACCCCTTCTGTGGATTTTCACGAATATCTAAAAAAAAACGGCGGCGCTCCGTGTCACCTAAAGTCAGGTCGCCAGGTCAAGCCAAGTGACCTACCTCACTACTTAAAAAGTTATAAAGCCTACCATAGCTACACCCTAGTGACCGATTGCTTTGAAACTTGCAGCGATTGATAAGAGCAACAGTTTGTACAAAATGTATATCTTAGCATTTTGATGTCGATGGCCTAAGGTCAGGTGAATTTTGCGACCTCTCAGTTAACCCTATTCCTGGCGGGGGGGGGGCCTCAGGAGCCCCCCCCTGAGGTTTTTTGGTTATTTCTCCCAAACGCGTTGAGCTAGGAAGCTCAAATTTTCTGACTTTTCCTAAAAGGCTTCTACGCAACATGTCTGAAAATTTTGAGTTGATCTGACCTCAGGTCAGGTCACCAGAGGCGGTTTGGTGACCCTACCTCAGAAAAGTTTGCAATCACGCCAGAGCTAGAGTTTTTGACCGATCAATTTCTTCTCTTCAGGCTTTAGTTAGGGTACCAGTATGTGCAATTTGTATATCTCGGAATTTTGATATCGGTGACCTAAGGTCAGGTCAGTTTCGCGACCTCCCCATTATAAGTCAAAGGGGGAAAAATCAACTCCCTGTTTTTACCACTAAAACGGGTTGGAATGGCCCCATATATCATACATGACTTCATATACGATCAACCTTCACTACCTTGAGGTCTGTTTTGCTGTTGGGCAGCTGTGAGGTCATGTGACGTCATCAAAGGTCACCAAAGGTTTTTGGCCAATAACTCCGTACAGGAACAAGATACAGACGCGTGGATGGTCTCATTGTGTTCAGCTCGTCAAGACGCATCGAATGATATGCATGATGACCTCGAGGTCACGTGACCTGAGGTCAACCTTTGACCTTGACCTTTCGAGGTCAACATATACATCATTCGATGCGGATTGACGAGAGGATCACGATGATGCCCTTAGTTTGTTCCTATCTTGACTAATTCGAAAGTTATTCGAGAAAAACTCTCTCCATATCTAGCGCCGCCATTTTGACTTTTTCGACCCCTGTGACGTCATCTTTGACCTGACCTGAAAATGACCTTAGTAAAAATTGTAGATCTTGACCGTGCGTATCCGATGCCGTTTACCGTTTGTCGCTGCGATGTGTAGTTTTTGAAATCTGAAGGGGGGCCGAATCGGCCCCCCCGCCAGTTTCTTGTCCCGGCGGAGCCCGCCAGGAATAGGGTTAAAGGTAAGTAAATTGGAGACAATCGAAAGGCGCCTCTTTTGAACGTAAGTCATATTGGCCGTAAGTCATATTGGCCGTTTTCGCGACGGGCTACCCGGCGAGTGCACCTAATTTGACCAAATCTGCACCTAATCTCTTTTACAGCAAATATCTGTATTTTATGAATTTATTTCAGTGTTTTCATCGATGATACTCTCTGACAATATGGTAAAGCAGGCATATAAGCAATTAGTGCAACCACACTTAACATGAAAATGGCACCCGTGACCCCGTTTTATGCCCCTGATGACATCTCAGGTCACGAATGGTATCTGACAGTTTTTCGCGAAGAACTTTTGATAGAGGCATAGAACGATGAAAACACCTTCGTTGTGTTCATCTCGACGAACGGATCAACTGATATGCAACCTGACCCTTATCGGTCAGGTCATGACCTTGAACTGAGGTCAAATTTTTAAGTTAACCTTTCAAGGTCACATAATAGTTTATTCAATGCGTCTTGCCGAGAGAAACACGATTCCGGTAAAAGAAAGTACGTGAAAGGCTTAAGTCAAAGGTTTTTGCTGAAAAAACTTTCAGAAAAAAATATATCTATTTTGGCAGTTTTTACCCCTCCCCCGCATGCAAAACCACTGACGGCAGGTCAAATCTGAGAGAATTAATCAGAAAGAGCGTTAATGGGCTATCAAAGGCGCTTTTCTGTGGTTTTGTAGCTCTATTAGTTTCCGAGCTATGCGTTGATCTGATCAAAATTTGAATGTTGTCAAAAATTGAAAATTATCATAATTTAACCTGGAAATCGGTGAACTTTTGCATTCAATGACCTCTGGCGACCTGACCTTTGACCTGACCAAAAAAGTGACCGAAATAATTTCTTCCTTATTTTTGACGTCCTTTCGAACGCCGTCTTGGCCGTATCGCTACATGGCCCAGGAGCTAAGTTAAAAGGGGGATTCAAACGTTTCCTCCCCCCCCCCCCCCAGCAGGGCCTGGAAATCCAGGAACTCCCGCGGGGTGCGGGTTAGAAGATGCTTGTGAGCATAACATTAAAATATGTTTAGAGTAAATAGTGCTCGCATATATTACTTTGAAATTGACGATAAAAATGTGTTAATCATACTCAATGCCTATAGGTATTGAGTATCCACTGTAGTTTACTACAGTGGATATAACGATGAACTTCTATGATCTCTTATAAGAAGCACGAATGAAATTTCACATTTTTCTGCTCTTTTTTTAAATACTTTCCGTGTAAGTGTATACGAGTATATCAAACTGTTAACAGGACGTTCATAAATACATGAGCTTTTGGTACCTATTCGGTTACGGTTCCAACATTCCCGGGTAAAATGTTGTTAACTTACCATCTGTGAGGCATCCAGCTGCTCTTTCACCTTCGCCATTGGCCACAATCGGGGTCATGGCTTCCCGGGAGAGTTCCAACTCGTTGGTGTCCTGCAAGTCGGCATTTTTTATCCGACTCAGCTCTTTCCAGACCTGAAAACAAAGGATTAATGACGCATGCTGAAGGACGACTATACCAGCAAGACGCCATCGATATTCGCATGGCCGGCTTAAATTCTTCTACTTCTTACTGCAGCGTCTGAAAATTAACTGCCAATCCAGTTCCGTTATCGGTGGTCATGCAAATGCGATGTCACACAAGCACATCTGTTTTACAGTAGCATTAGTAACTCTCGCTGCCTCGCAATCCCTACCGTGCGGCGGACATGACCCTGGGGTTATGCATGCATTGTCGGTATAAGTACAGACTTGTGCCTCAGCCAAAAATCAAGATCCAAGATCCGCAAGATCCCATGCAATGTCAGGATTTCAGAATACTGGATCTCCTTGATCTCATTGAAAAATATAATATAATTTTAGGATCCAAGATCCCCTGGATCGCACGTATAAATAACACTTTAGGATTCCGGACCCCACGCGAGAACGAAATGCCAGAGTTCAAATTTCCTGGATCCAACGTAAATGTCATGTCTGTAGACATAAAATTAAGCGTTAAGTTTGAACTTTAGGGACAGCGAAGCAGGTTGTGCACAAAGACTTCTTAAACAACCTTGTACGCCTCGCTAATGCAAAGCATTTTGAAATTTAGCAAGAAAAATGTGTTCTCAGAGACTAAATGTAGGATACAAGATCCCCAGAATCAATCCACAGAGCAAAAATGTAAGATTCAAGATCGCCGGTATTCATCGACAAAAGAAACATGTTGGATCAAGGACCAGCAGGGTCTCCAAAAAGTATTGATGAATTTATAATCAGATAGAAGAACTGCGCTCTTGGATCCTGTGGATCGAATCATTTTCGGATATTGGTCCTAGTCTGTCGGTAACAAAGGCAAGGGAAATAAAATACACATGAGGGCGGGTGCAAAATAACTCAAGATGAGCTTCAGAAAGAAAACTGACTCTGCAAGAGCCGGTGAAGGCGCGTCTGCAGTTGCACGCACCAAACCACCTGACTCTGACTGCATAGGATCGCTAATTTACAACGCATCAGACCATGTACAATGATTCATGTTATCTATGACAATGTACAATGTACATACTTTGTTTTCATCGACGACGGATGGTGGCCATCGGGATTTTCCTCTTGACGATGGGGTGTCGCCTCTCTGAGAAAGTGGCCTCCATGGCACCGTCCAGCTGAGGAGATGAGAACATCATGATAGAATCCATTCGACCATGCCTGGTATCTAGATCTCACTCTTGGGGGGTGCAGGGGTGGGCTTTTAGAAGAAGCACTTGGGGTGCTCATTTTTAGAAGGATTCGGCCAAATGATTCAATTACAAGTCGTTTATTACAAAAATACTAGATGAACTACGAGGAAGATGAAAAACATGATGAAAAGCTGACCTAGCCTTACCTTATAACCTACTAACTAGACCTTACAACCTAAATAGGTACCTACAATCTACCAGCCTACATCTTACAACATACAACCTTCCACATGCCTACCACTCGAACTTCATTTGCACATATACCACCTATTCTAACCTATAGATGTTTGCACCAGGGTTTGAGCATTAGGGGCTGGCAGAAAAAGATGCTATAGGCAAAGGCTTAAAGAAAATACTTGATGTTTAATTATTCTGTTAGGCTTCACGCTGGCAAAGCTGCCCGTAGAATAACAGGTTAGGTTTCACTGTGGGGGCATGTTGAGCATGACTGATATGATATTCCACATTTTGATGGATATCATGAACCCCTCAAAAAGGCTTTCATGTTATAGACAATACAATACTAGGAGGGTCAACCAACCCACAGGACAACCCAAGGTATCAGTAGTGTTGTGTGAGTGCACATGTAAGGTACATTTTCAATGAAAATATGCATTTTGCACTTAAACATACCTACAGGCAATAAAATACGTAACATTTAACACTCACCAGTCGCTCCAGCCTCCAATTCACTGCGTCCGCCGCGTCCCGTGCTGCACTTCCGGCACAAACATGCAAGATGGCGTAATGGCGGTAATATTAACGCGTAAGGCTTGTGTAAAGCAGCTCATGGATAATTCACGGTTGATCATATTTACCGCCGCATCATTGGTTTCCTTAAGCTGCGTTTGAAGAGTTAATGATTTCAAACTGGTTTTTGAACTCATTACTCACGAACAATGAGTTAGCAAGAATCCCTGTCCTCTTTTTCATGAGTTCTTAAACCCAAACGTTCAGTTTCACTAACTCACGGGTCGTGAGTACATTCCTTACTCGCCTTACATTAGTTTGCGAGACTCAACAGGGAGTTTTGATACCAATGTTTTGTGCGTCATGAGTCAGGCAACTCATAGGGAGAAGGTCATGCATTTGGGCAATTGAGTTTTCAAAACGAGTAAACTTTTACTCTTGAGTGTTAACGCTCCACGCATGAGTTACTCATCCAAATATACTCATGAATGGCGAGTCAAATATGAATTACTCTCCCCTCATGAGTAGATTTGTTTTCAGTGCACACCCGAGAAGTCCCATCTACTGCCAGCGCCTGTTTCCCACTGCTACCAACACATGCACCCCTGCACTCTGCCACAACCATTTCGCCGCTATGACTCATCCCTTGCTATATACCTATTACAGGAGTCACTATCGCCCGATATAATAGGTATCAACTCACTCTTACTTGGCTTACAATTACACATGACACAATTTAATCGCTTGTTATCATACAGCTCATCATCATGCACAGTTTACTTTGATAAGCGACTCACAGTCACTACCTCTCACATGGCTTGATAACGCCAATAACTCATCACACATCGCACCTCAAACGTCATATATCCATACACAGATAACAGTAGTACTGGATTGGAAACAGGATTCCGGTGGCTGCAGTAAGAGGCCGAAAACAGAACCGAATATTTCGTGCCTATATTTCGATATCTCCTCTCACAGGCAACAAAAAATATTGGTTTATGTGAATGAAACTTATAAAGAAGCAATCGACTAGCCGTGCTCGTGTTTATTGCTGCATTTTTGCATAATGGCAACTTATTTTACTAAACGTTGCTGGTTACACTTTCCTCACCGTGGTGAGGGAACGTATGCCACTGATTTGATTATAATGATTTCTCACTCTCATCCTCAAAAAGTACTTGTACATACATGGGAGTTTGATCTCTGTATTTACATGCTAGCTAATCGATACCAGTCCTGTCACAACGAACCATCCAAACGTCACGATTCAAACCAACGTCACAAAACATCCTTCAAGTGTCACTTCGCTTCGCCTGCCCTCCCAATTTCATCAGCGACCTTACTTCCCCGCCTTACATCTTCTTGACCCTGCTGAGCTTTGGCCTCTTGTCGCTCCTCGATCGGGTTGCACCAGTGGCTGGGGTGTCTGCTTCCTGACTTTCGATGGACAGCACTGTCTGAGTGTCTGTCTCACTTATCAGTTACCATGTTTCCACACTTTCCAGCAAATAGATTGAAAACCGTCACATACATCTCTGGAAGAAGGCTCCTAAGGACGTCGTGGCTATCATTGCAAACGACTTCCGGTCAGTTCGACATCTCGGTTTACGACTATCTTCGTCACTTCTGCGTCACTTCTTGGTTGATCGCAGACCAGCAGCTGGTTCCTGTTAGCTTTCGTCTTCGGCAGTTGCCTTCAAACCTGGCAGATCCTCACGGTGAGGTCGATGTCTTCCTCGTCTTTCTCCAGTCGTACCTCCAGCGGCGTAGCCCCATGATAGATCAGCACGCTGGCGGAGGCACCGTACTTGTTACGCCTGGTGGCCGAGCGCAGAGCCGAGCGTGCCAAGGCGCCGGAGCTGTGTCCCAGGGAGGCCTTGGCGCTGTCATCCAGGTCCTCCATTTCAGTGGATTTCGCCACTGCGGCCACTAGCTCCCGGGATGACAAGAGCACCATCCTGCTGTCATTCCTGCTGTGATGGTGCCATTCGGGCGGAGGCGTCGGCGGGGCTGAAACGTGACCAGTGACCCGGAGTACCGCCTCATTCTCCAGGAACTGTCGGACACTCGACCAGTTGTTGCCACCTGATAGCTGATATTGTCATTCGTGAAGAACGCATCGGTCTGGCCCTTCATAACCTGCTTCTGGTGTGAGTGGCGTGCGGATGCCATGGCGTTTCGCTGGCCGCTCGTGCACAGGGGGCATCACGTAATCCACGCTGGTCAATACTGACAGGGCTGCGCCGCTCTTGAGCCGACGGCGCTGTCTCTGCATGCCGGTGCGAAATGACCGATCTTCTTCGAAATCTTCCTTTCTGAAATGCAGCTCACACACAGCGGAATAGTCCTGATCCCACTCAGCCCGGTCATGGTGACCCAGCGCCAACCCACTGAGCCCGTAGAGATGTTTCGGTGAGAAAAGCGAATAGGTGGCATGTGAGACATCTCCTGTTCTAATCTTTTGTTCCTCTTGGTTCGTTGGGTTGTAGCCAGAACGGCAGGTTTTTACCGCTCATTCCCCTCCTCCATTGTTGATGTACCTATACGTATGTAAGGCTTTGCACCACAACTTTTTCAAAAGAAAACACCACGCATTGTGCCCTCTAAATGATCAAATTAAAAGTGAAATACTTTAATTTTTAAGCAAATGAAAGTAACTTTGGTAGCTTCGATTTTAAACGTAAACGACAAAACGCAAAAAAGACGATTTCTTGCAATACACAACACACAAATTATCCACCCAGCAGCACGCGAGAATCTCATTTTGGCGCCGTCGCCTAAAAACATTCGGCCTCTTACTGCAACTGCCAATATTCTGTTTCCAATCCAGTACTACTGTTATCTGTGATCCATATTTTTTAATCGCATTACCACACGGCTTACCATCACACTCGATTAACCATCAGACGGCTCACGACTCACCCATCACCCGTCTCGACTCCATCCGAGCACCTCTTGGCGTCCGGGCCCGAACAGCGGAACTCCAAAACGGCATTCTCACGGGGAGCATTGTTGGCATCTGCGTCGCTTCGCTAGCCCGCCGAACCGTCACGCTTGGTCGACTCTCTGCCGAGTCGGATGTGTTTGAATCGGGCTCGGTAGCTAAAGCTGGCTTGGATGGCGAGGCGGTTGGTGGTAGTCGCGGAGTCGAGCTCATTATGTCGGCTGGTGGACGGTGCAGCGCTGGTGCTAGCTGTTGCTACTTGCTTAGACAGTGATATACAGATGTTCTAATCGAAGCTGGTCCCTGCATAATGGTACCTACACGATTTGTCTGCCGCATTGATGTTAGAATTAACTCTTGAAGACTTTGGCTGGTTGAGGAGTGGGGAGAAGAAGCACGCTACTTGAAGACGCGCTGTCACTTGCAAACCATTTCACGATTGAAATGTGACATCCTATCATAGGAAAAATTAAAAAAGTGACTGCGCAATGCGCATGCTGTAAGGAAAAGTGTCTTCTCCAGCTTGCCATGGGATATTTCTAGGCTTTTGTTCATCTCACTAGTATTTTGGATCATCAAAATGGATGCCTCAGGTGAATCATTTCTCCGTTACTCAAAACTCCCGTCCAGCCTAGTTCTCTCCTCCCCACCATTCCCTGTCTGACGTTCAGGGAGCTCTCACGGTCAGGGTCACGGAGGGGCAGGGGAGCGGGTGGGTGGGGCCGCCGAGCCATCAGACCCTCAGACCAGGCGACCTCGCCCGGGGTCCACTGTTGACGGCTGACTCCAGACTAACCTCCAGTCCCACTGTAACCAACTGGGTCACCCGGCGGCCGACGCAAGACACATACCAATGACGACCGCCGGGACCCGTGGGAGACTATAGAAACGACCGGCTATAACAGTTAGTGTTACTGCCACAAAGGATAGGGGGTTTGCGAAACGAGATGGCTATTCTTAGCACTAAGAACCGGTGTTTAACTCGAACTTTCCACACCGCACGAGCACGGAACAACAATGGTGATCATCCTGAAGATGCCTGCCTTTCCAGAACTATTTTTAACGTCTAGAAGCTGAGATCAATATATTTTTTTGTTCCGATGTCCCGCTGTGTAAAACTTGTGCCGTTCTTCGCTGGTTCTGGGTCAACCATTCGTTCCAACCCGACCATGACCTTCTGACCTAACACGGGAATGACTCGCAAATCCAAGTATCGATTCGAGGGATGATAAATAATAGATATGG